ATTTCTTGAGAATAATTATCTCCTAGGCTTGATTGAAAATAACATTGGATTAATAAAGAATAGCTTTTTGGATATTGAAAACTTGAGGAGAGATAAAGAGACCTTTCCTCATGTTTTGTCTTTACCTTCGTGCATTCTCTCTAAAAGTGCGGAACTGGGGAATAAAAACGATTTTCAGTTATTTCCAATTTTGAAGAGAAAGTTGACACATTCTCGGCATAATGCATTCATGTGGTCGCTTTGATGTTGGAGAGACTTGTCGTCCCGTTCGACAAAGCGTGGCTGAGGACAAAAGCTCCTGCAGTGACTGTTGGGTTCAAAGATCGGAGTTGGCTGAGCAGAAGCCAGAAACGGGACACGAAAGTGGATGGTCTCAAACTTCTCGTTTGGCTAATTATGGCATTTCTGCGTCTAAACGTAAAAGTAGAGAAGCCATCGAAATAAACCGAATAGGAAATGTATTAAATGTAAGGAATACCGGCAAGAAGATAAGTAACAATTACTTGTGCTTAATTAATAGATTAAAGGATTGATAGCAAGTTGAGCCGCCTGCACAAAGGAGGCGACTCAACCAGTCTTTCACGGTTTTCAAGGTTGACATATGACCTGAATTAACCAAATAACTTTATATCTCATCAATTAGGCCAGATGTAGACTATAGATACCGCTTTGTATGCATTTTCCGGCGAGTTTTCTTGACTCATTAGCCTGAATTTGGTTGTGACGATGACACCTTGCTCTGATGCTGTTCGTCTCATGACGGACGAAAGATTAGCAACTTTTCACCGGAATCGACAGACATTGCCTCGGAAACAGGGTCAGCATAAATCTCTTCAGCAAAGCCAATCGACAGCCGTCGTCTTCTGATAGAATCGACCTTCAAATCGCTTCATCAAACACTTCCACTTGAAATGGAAGTAAGCTCAACAATCATGAAGCAACTTTTCTTCGCATAATCGTATGTTGCCGTTTCATTTATGCAATTAAAGAGATAAAAGTAAAAATACTAAACAATGAACATAAAGACAATGTGCAATAAGGTATTCTAGTTCAAAGCTAATATAAAAACAATGTTAAACATATTATCGTCGACATTAATTGAAACTTTCGATAAACTTTGGCCACAGGTCGAGACTTCCTTGATTTCAAGCTCTGGTAATGATCGCCCTGACAGGATCATCAGGATCACAGAACAGTGATCCGAGGACATATTCGCTCAACTCGACAGTCACAACGCACAGCGATATTCGTCTTTTCCGGCATAAATCTATCACTGGATTCTCTTAAACTCAGCCTCACTCCCTACTTAAAATGTATGCTGGTTAGTTTGCTTCTCGACTAGTTTTCACTTAACCATTTGGCATCACCGCTATCACCGCTTGACTGCATGGCTAGTCGCCCACTCCACACCGATGCTTCCGTACAGATTTTCCACCACTACCGGAATACTACTTATAAACACTACTTAATTCATGTCGGTCAGTGGCCTACTTAAGTGGCCATCATTGTGGCAACATATGCCAACAGGCATTTGCGAATTCTCCCAACATCATCATCACTGATGCGCCCGTCCGAAGGGGTTTACGGCTTAAGTGGGCATCAGGCTAATGGAAAGCTGACAATCTTCAGCTCGCCTAATTGTCATACAGAAATCTTCTGCTGAGGCCGCGAGCCCAAGTGACACGGGGACAAATGCCTAGTACTATTTGGGAAAGTGGGAAAAGCGGGGAAAGTGGGAAAAGTTGCACTTTACGCTGTTGTTCTGCGGCCATTTCAGAATTGCAAACTAGCGCAAAGTTAAGGTACACCCGTTCTGTCCTGGCAGTCGCAAAGCCGGCTCTTTTCTGTACTTTCCTCCTGTTTGCATTTTCATCTCTCTTCTCTCTCTCTCTCTCTCTCTCTCGCTTTCTCTCTCTCTCTCTCTTCTCCTCTCGTCATGCTTGTTTGCGTAAGGATGATGTGCAAGAGGCCACGAGTCAGTCTCTTACGTCTTGTTGCCTCCGTCAGGTGGGCTTCTCGCGCTGATGTCGCGAGTTCAGGCCATACGTTAAGCGGGGCAAGGAGGAAACCGGTCAGAGATCATGCACCACACGTCGCCATGGCAAGATTGTGGCGGACATTGTTTTGTGAAAAAAGTCTGCTGTCTAGCCAAGTGTTACTACTCTGCATTTAGGCTGCATATTTTACGCAAAAATGTACTTTATCCCACGCAACTCGCACATTTTTGCAGAAATCTCTTCGCCTCGTTCGGTGTCGAGGGCACGAGTCGCGGACTCGAACCAATCGACTCAACCATTTCTGGTAATGATGCTGGTGTAAGGGAGATTTCATCTGAAAATGCAGATAAAAAGCATGAATGAATCCGATATTGGTGACTGGTAACTGAATTTTATCGCAATCGTTCGAGTAGACCTTACATTTCTATCGAATTTCACACAGCCCTTCTTAACTTAATGCTATTCTCATCCAAGCAGAAGTGGTCTGCAGTTTCATCCTCATCTGAACTCCCGGCTGGACTCGAACCCTGATAGTGCAGCATATAATCTCGACACATTACCGACTACGCTACATTGCTACCAGGGCCCTTGGATCACAAGGTGGATGAGAATTTTAAGCAATTCCTGCCATTTTCCCACGTCACATTCTGTTGTGGGATTGTTGATGAAGCAAGCTTGTTGATTTGCTGTTATAATCGGATACACTACTTATTTGTCCTTTGTAAGTAGGGTTTTTAGACTACCATTAAATCAGATATATCAAGTGAGTTGGCTCTATTTACTGCAAGGTTTTGAAGGACTGGTAGTTGAATTTTTCTACAATCCTATGAATAGAACTTGCGTTCCATTGAACTTGACATAAATCTGCCTCACCGGACACCGACGATGAATTTTTCGCTTCTGATGATCTCTGTCACATGACGTAGGAAAGGTCGGCACAGATGGCTCAGACCAGCATAAAAGTGGGGTTAGGTCTTCTTTGCACAATTAAGTATTCAAAGTTCCAAGGCAATCCTTATTCGGTGTCCTGTGGGATAAATGTCCAAATCTTCTTCATTCATATTTTCAAAATAAGTAAAATATGTATCAAGCTATTGTTCAAAATCCAATTTTTGTTCCCTTAAGCAACCCCAAGTTGGTGGTGGATATCATGAGGCATGGAC